ATATTTTGGAATCTATTTCGCATAATGGGAAAACATCCCAATGGCTCGTTGAAGAGAAGGCTGATCTGCAGTGTTAAATCTAGGAGAGGCTTAAGACGCTCACAGTCCGGCTTTATCGTTCCATTTTTTTATCGTATATACTAGAGGATCAATTGATTCTTGAGAAAATTTGTATTTGGATTAATTGATGGTGAGATTATATTTTTTCCCAACATTCATGAATCGCAAAAGATTTTTGTCATGTTCAATCGTTCCTTTCCCACAAATAGTGACATTATCTAGGTAGGCAAAATTTCCTTGTAATTCTTCATTCCTTATGATGTATCTATTGCTCGCTGCAAATTTTGAGAGGAGTTCTTGGTCTATAGAAGTTAACTTCAATTGCAGAGTAATCTTCGAGACTATCGTGTCCAAGTATAACGTCATTACAAAGATTATCCAAAATTGATAGTTTGATATGTTTGTATAGATAGTTTCTCATTTCAAAATCGACTATACGACTTTCTTCCACTTGTGGTACATGGTTCAAAGAAGCCATACTGATCTTCTTATCAGAAAGTATTTTTTGGAATGGAATTACTGATGAAATTAGAAGTGCTTCCGGTATCAATGAGCCCTGTAGGCTTAACTCCATTGATAGTGATCGGTAGGTACTATACCTCCACTGAAGCAGCTGAATAAAGTGGCCAATAATAAGCAATCAAGTGTTTTTGCACTAGCCACTACTGTTCTACTTTCCACTGTCCTACTTCGGCAAACTTTAGCGAAATTTCGTTTCTGCTCTTAAAGCTAGTCATTGGTTTTATGTGTGTCTTTTATTACCACAGAAAAAGCATTCAGTTGATTAGTATTTACGAGAAGTAGCATTTACGGAAATATCAGAATAACTAGATGATGGATCTACTGAAGCCGCATTTATTGAAGAGAATTTAGTTGAGCCATCTCCAGAGATCAAGTTCAATCAAAAGCTTAATTTAACTCAAGAGTAAAGTTTTCGAGCAATCGCTGTCGTATACTGGCTGAGTACAATACGGCGTAGAAGGTATCTCTTAAGGTCTTTCGTCCACTGGGAGCGGAAAGCAGCGAACTGCGAAGCAACGAATTCGTGCGAACGCCGTTCGTACGAAATCGTGCGATGCACATCTTTACCGTACATAAGTAAACAGAAGTAAATTCACTCCCGTCGGCTTCTTTGATGTCTCGAGAACAGATTTTATGTTTTGCTGGCATGTGGCGGGGCAGGAGGGTGTCGGCTAGGAGCTGTTGGGCAGCTGTTTCAAATTCATATTGTCAAATTTCGAAGTATAATGAATTCTTACCCTTGTGAAAAGAAAAAATAAATAATCCTTAGGAAAATTATTCTGTCTCTAGATGAATGATACTTTGTAAAAATGAATCTGGAGGCATATATAAATTTCCAAACTGTTTGGCTTCTGTATCACTGTATGCCTTGCAATAACTATATACATTTGTTTCATTCAGTGTGATACTAGCCGCCGTGGGAAAATTTGTATATACTTTACATAAATGTTTTCCCAAAAGATATCCATAAACATAGCCCAAGCTGTTTCGGGAATGGCTAGAGTTCTATAATCATTTGTCTCTACTCTCAAACGTTTATAGGAATTTTTTGGAACTTCTACAAGAATCTTCACTTTATTAATGTCAGCATTTGTAATATTAGATTGAATCTTACTAGTATCTTCTAGATAGTTAGTTCCTTCTGCCTGTGTGAAATACTGAAGAGTAAATGTGTTTTTGAAAGCTCTGGTAATTTGAACAGGAGTTGGGTTTCTGGTATTTCCACAAGTATTTCTCTGTTGACCAAAATAATTTTCCACACAGTCCTGATTTATATTCTTCGTCAATATATAGGAGTGTCCTTCACTATGTAGAGTTTCTCAATGTTGCAGAAACGCCGAAATTGTTATCTGCCACCCCTCAATGATTCTCATTTGTCCAGTTGAGTACAGTGTGTGTAAGGTTAATTTGCAGAATAATATTTACATTTCTTTGTTTTTTCTTTCTTTGTTTTGATGTTCTGAAAAAAGGTTTATTGAAATGTTTAACATCGTCAAATCGATTTGAATTCAAAATATCAAACACTTTATCCATTTTTTCAATGAATGTAGCCATCCTTATTGCTCTATTCATCGCTGTAGCTACCGAATGACTGAAAACTTGACTGGCTAATTTAACATTCATCCTTTGAAAGTTAATTAAAAATGAATGAGAATCAGTAAGTTTTGGCGCTAGTCTATATTGCTTTTCCTCATGCAAGTTGTAAAGTTTTTCAAGATGATTTTTGTTCGTTGTAAATTCATCAAATTTCAAAAAGTCATCGAAAGAATGGTTTCAGCTACATTTCAGCAGATGAGAAGTATCAAAAAAGTGAAATATTTTGTCTCATCTTCAAAGAAATATGGCTGATCTATAGTCACTTTGACATCTTATCTGGCAAATGTATAAAAATTAAAATCTAAATCTGAAATGATACCCCTAACTCTTAATCCAATTTTTGATAATTGCCTAACAGCTTCAATCAGAATACTTTTTATATTCAGTATTGATGTGGATGAATTGGTAAGAAAGTATGCAACAGTAGGCTCCAAAAAAGGTTATTTGTATATACATTTGATACTTTAGTTTTGCAGAGATTTCAGTGGAAGTAATATTCCACTGAATCAAAAAATATGGTTCAACAATTATCTTCCTTTGTGGATTTCCAGTCGATCTCCGATTGTTTTGTCATTTTGGATATTGCTTGTATTTTATTTCATTGTAATTTCAGTTTTTTGCTCAATATAATTTTTATTTTCAGGTAACCTTTTTAATTTTTTTTATTTAATTTTTACAGATTCTTTCAGGGATTTCAAATCAATTTATATCATAGAATACAATGGAAGTCCAAACTAATGAAATGCACCGTGAAACATTGTCAACCACCTTCAATCAATTTCTAATCTCATTCATTTTGAAACAAGCCGAAAATTGATATGAAAATTGGACACTTGAATATAAGGTCGCTGCTGCCATCATTTACCGAATTTAAATCAATCTTACTGAAATATAATTTTAACATTTTATGTATTAGCGAAACCTGGCTGCGCGGAGGAATAGATGATAGCTTATTGATGGTAGATCGATATAACCTGTACAGGAAGGATCGTGAGTCCGTACAGGTGGATTATGTGTATATGTCAAACCTAGGTCCACTACTTTTTCAGTTAATACCAGTCAGCTCGTTAACTTTCTTGCACATTGTTTCTCTTATCTATACGCAGACGACACCCAGATATTTCTTTCAAAGGTGAAGACGCTGATCAGGCTTGTGTACAAGTTATTGAAGACATCAATAATTTTGTTTATACTACAACTGATCATTGTCTAGTTAACAACCCAAGAAAGTCAAATGTTCTAATTTTTGGGCCAAAAAATGTCAGAGAAATAATTGAAGACTAAATAAAATGAAAATACTTGACAAAGATCTGTCCATTGTAGATCAAGCGAACAGTCTGGGCTTTATTCTCGAAAGTAATTCAAAGATTCGAAACCTACGTAAAGAACTTATTCAAAAGGCTGATGGAATTCTTAAGATTCTTACTGGAAATAGGAAAGTTCTCACAAAGGCAACAAGAAAAATGTTATGTGATAGTTTACTTTTGTCTACCCTGAATTTTGCTGATTTAGTATACGGTCCTTGCTTAGCGAAAGCATATAAGCAAAATATTCAGAATTCTTGTTTACGTCTCATTCATAGAGTTCGAAGACGATAAACTATTTTCAACAAATAGGTTGAAACGGATTGGTTGAATATGGCGATGCGTAGACGGCTGCATGCAGCGTGCTTATTTCACAGAATAATCATAACGAAGATTCCGATTTACTTATATGAAAAAAATCATTTCGAACCGATGTTCATACAATCAATATTTGATTTGAAGGTCTTTTAACTCCACCATTTCACCATCATGAATTCTCCAAACGGTCCTTCAGTTACCAATTGGATACGTGTACAACGGTATACCAAAAGAAATATAAAAAATTAATGTTTTTAGTTTTAAGTANGGCCCGTAACTTGGTTACGAAGACTTTTAGGAAAAAAAGTTATATGAAGTACTGGTGATATTTTGACCCCATCTATACATTCCCGAGAGGAAAAGAGGAAGCCCAGGGACACCCTGTATATTTCATATGTACTCGCCAATTTTATAGTTGATTCAATTTGGAAATGGAAAAAATGTCATGTCTGCAAAATGGATCCCTATGTGTCTGAATTTTGACCAGAAGCATGTCTAGGACCGTTTTATGACTTGGGCCCTCATTTTGTGCTATCGACAAATTATGAACGGACTATAGTGGTAATTAGACAAAAGTATTTTTATTCATATCATTAAAGTGATCATGATTTACCACAAAATAAACAACTTATCAATCACACATATAAAACGGTGTATATGTATCGCAGATTGACAGAATGAAGAGACATTATTATTATATGATGGTTCCATATCAAGTGATTGTCTAACACCTGATGATATTTAATGCATGTAACAAGTTCAAGTAGCAGCTGATTGTGGACTGTTGAGAAACTAATTCAGAAGGAAAGGATTTTTTTATATTGTGCTTTCAATATATTGAGGAATAAGTTTTCTATAATCAAATCATTCTTTCATGACTGCCAGATAATTTTCAGTATTCACTTCCAATGCGGACCATTTTTCTCCCATATATAAATTAGCCATATTGTCAAAAAAACTAATTATTTTATCAGTGTTCTCGTTTGAAAATAAACCATATAGGTATAAACAAAATATAATGAAAAAATACAAAAATACTAAACCAAAATCAGAGTTATTGAAAAAGTCCAAGATCATTGAGAAATTGAATATGTCACACAAACCTAAACAAACTTCAGGTAGCCTCACGTACATTTATATACCCCTCTATTATGGCGGGAGAATCATATAAAAGATGAAAGTGGATGTACACCTGATGATATTGTTTGATAGATAGGACGGAAAAGACACTGCCTTAAATGTGTTTATTGGTGATTGAGTGTTGAGTGATATATCCAATCTTCGCCTTTGGGATACAGTTGATAGAAATGAAGTCCTTCTTGCAAGTGAGTTTCATGCATATAAAAAAACAATTCAACATGTTTACTATTGTAAGAAATCTATTATCTCATTACCGTTCACTTACGCTATATGATCTTGGCCTGAAATGTTCAATATAAGAATAAAATTTGTTTGAGTAATTCATATATCTTGCGGATTGACAACCAACAATTGATTCCCAAGGTTTTTTCAATGTGTTGAAGTATATGGGTGGGCGAAACATATCTACAAGCCGATACGATAATCAATTATTGAAAATTGATGATTCAATTTACTCATAGAGGTTGCTTAAAATTGTTCCAAACATAAAGATTGTTTTTTTTTGGTTCACAAAATGGAGTAATGGCTGAGGTTTTTTTCGCTAGTTTTATTCAACATTGCTTTTATTTGAAATGTACATTGCTATAAACTTTTAACGTTCTAAGAATCGCAGGTTAAAAGACAAGATCCCGTTGATCTTTAGCTCGTAGAAGTTTCGACTTTAGGGATTGTTGCTTATAGGGGTGCAACAGCTGATCAAGGGAAACCAGATTTTGACTGATTTTTCAATCCCTTTCGTTCAATCTTTCAATGGGCACTCAAGAACATAAAAAACTTTGCAAATACGTATGTTTTGATGAGTTTCTTCTATTTGGCATGATATTTTACCCCCTATGCCAGCACAAGCCATTCTTTTTCCACTTATCGTCATAACTTTAGTGCCATTATAATTTTCAAGATCAGTAGAGGAATTTTCGTCGTTGGTGATTTCTAGAACTCTCTCAAAAAATATTTTACATTGTTGGCATTTTGATTACCATTATTTCTTCTCATGGCTGTAGCAAAATTTTCACGATGATAAAAGTATTTTGGTTTGTAAGTTACCTTTTTTCTTGTAAATATCTTCCTCTATGACAAAGGTTCAATGGAGGAATTTTCGTCGTTGGTGATTTCTAGAACTCTCACAAAAAATATTTTACGTTGTTGGCATTTTGATTACCATTATTTCTTCTCATGGCTGTAGCAAAATTTTCACGATGATAAAAGTGTTTTGGTTTGTAAGTTACCTTTTTTCTTGTAAATATCTTCCTCTATGACAAAGGTTCAATGGAGGAATTTTCGTCGTTGGTGATTTGAAGGATCTTGCGAATTTCGGGTTCTCCCACAAAAAACTCTTTAACGTTTTTGGCATTATGATTAACTGTATTTCTTTTTATAACCCTAGTAATATTTTTACAATAATGAAAGTGTTTTTGTAAGTAACTTTTTTCTTGTGAAAATCTTTCTCTTTGACGAAGGTTTTATATATGCAGTCGAGCCTCGTTGAAATTAATCGAGTCCTAGGTACAATGCTGTTTGGGTCGGATTTGTCCCACACTGATGAGATGTGAGGAATCTTCCATAAGTATCTGTCAGATATAATTCCATATCCAGCGTGGTATTAGCCGGGGAAGTAGTTCTTTTCCGGCAGACATTTACCATAATCTACTGTGTAGGTACATTGATAGATATGAATGTGTTGAAATTTCATCTCGAAATACTTCACACTGTCTGATGAATTCATACATTTTCGTTATTTTGCGGCTTACTTCTAGTTTCAATGCTAGCCCGCTTAATGAAAGCCTTGGTCCCATAATATGGTATTTTTAATGAAACGGTTATTTTGTATCAGAAACTACAAACTATTGAATTATGAACTTGACAATATATTTTATCATCAACTAATATTACCACAACTTTTGTTTAATCAACTACGAATCAAAACTATTCCATGAGATGCTGAATAAACAACGATGTTTCAATAGAGATTCACCTCACTTTGAGAATACCAGATTATTCTAAGGGTTTGTTTTTTCCTTTTCTGGCGAGGTAGTTTTAACTTTATATGCCAGAGCTCTCCAATGAGATACATACCTATAAATGAAAAAACTACCTGATTTATTAGACAAACTCTGGATTGAATAAGTTGGAAATTTAGATTAATACTCCTTCATGCTTTCTACACATACTTAGGTGCAACTCAAATCGAAAGGTATAAATAAGTATTCAATATTTGTTTTCATCCCCTATAATGAATTTCAGGTTTTTTAAAACAACACATTTATCATTAAGTATACAAATAGTATAAGAAATAGCTTATTTCGAAGAAAAAATGGAAATTGATAGATGAATAAATGTGATACTGAGAAAAAATGAATAACTAATACCACAGTCAAAACATGAGAAAACACTTATATGTGAATGTAATAATAGATTACCTTCATATTAGTAAAAAACTGTTTTTGAATTATTCACTGAGTTGGATACGAATAGATTAGTATTATTGAGATAGGTTAATTTATTATTCACAGTGAGGATGATTTGACACAAAAAACGAAGTTCAATGTTCAATAATATCAAATTCACAGCAAGTGAATTCATAGCATAATGATTATGGCTGCCGTAACATGGATATGAGAACTGAAGAGATATGAATAAACTCATTATAATGAAGTTTATAGTAGAGGAAGGCCTAGAACGTAAACATTTTTGAAAAGTCTTCAGTATATCATACGTTGTAAACGAAAAATATTTTTTTGGATAGGGTTACATAAACCTTTTGTTTATCTGCATGTCTTCAAAATTGGATAATATCTAAGTATATTAGCAGTTTTCTTTTCGCCGATTCTCTTCATTCCTAAACTTCCTCAACAAATGACAAAGGAGTTTTAAAATGTGAAATATGTCAATTTTGTTGATTGACTTTGATTCGATGTTGTAGAAGGTGATTTTTGATATCAGTCTGTTGCTATTGCGCCACTTTCATTTTTTTCCTCAAGGTTCTACAAACAACATTACATATTCAACTAACACCAACTGAACAATTATCGAGTCAACAACCACCGACACCTTTCATAACTAACGTTATAACTTACAAAACAAAAAATTCACTGAGATCAATACTCACATATACAAAACCCAACAACACAGAAAAAAACGAAAAATGGCATTTATAAGATACCTTGACCGTGTGGTAAAAGTTGTATTTGTGAAACTTCGAGACCATCAAAAGTGCGTGAAGTGAACATGGAGATTTTATAAGAAATAGATAATATACAATCAAAATTGTCAGAACACATTTCGAATAAATATAGTTAAAAAAAAACTAAAAAAGACGCTTTTAAAGAACATCGAACTGAAAAGTTAAAAAATAATTTTTTTAAATAAGCTTTAAACAATAACGAACAAATAATACTAGTATTTTTCGTTCGTTATTGTTTCAAGCTTATTTAAAAAAAATATTTTTAACTATNACATACATACATACATACATACATACATACATACATACATACATACATACATACATACATACATACATACATACATACATACATACATACATACATACATACATACATACATACATACATACATACATACATACATACATACATACATACATACATACATACATACATACATACATACATACATACATACATACATACATACATACATACATACATACATACATACATACATACATACATACATACATACATACATACATACATACATACATACATACATACATACATACATACATACATATATACATACATACATACATACATATATACAGGTGAAGCTTACATAAAGCGTGTAAAAATCAGACGGTAAACATCAAGTTGTAAGGAACAAGACAAGAATGATTGCCAATGAGACGTAAACATAATCAGCGTATATTATTATATCAGAAGAGAAGTGTATCTATATAATTTCTCAGTTCTTTTTTGAACGGCGAAATTATTAAATACGACAAGTTACTGATGAATACAACTTTTTTTTTGTGAAAAGTAATTTGACTTTACTGGGTGAACAAAAAGGGTGCCCTTCTTACACACGTGTATAAAGTTTTCCATTTCAATTTTTATCTTTTCCAGATTATGGAAGGTGAAAAAACCCAAAGAATATCGATAAAAAAACGACCTTGTCGCATTGGTTTGTCAGGCAGCTTGAATTTATTTTTCCCGTCGATGACTATCCTTAAAAGATAAACATATCTGTCTCTGTCTCTGTTTTTCCGTTAACCAGCTGTCGCACCCCTACGAACGACAACCCTCAGAAGTCGAAACTTGTACGAGCTAAGGATTAACGAGGTCTTACCTTTTAACGTGTAATTCCTAACACGGGTTGGACGATAGCAAGTGAAGATCGATCGTTCAGACTAGGGCTGAACCACCGACCAACACGGCAGTCAATTCGATTGAGTGAACAAAGCACCCACGCCGAACCGCTTGGCTACCGACCGACGAACTTTTCAGTAGATATATAAAAAAAATAATATAAAGGGACTAGGTTGCGTTTTAGGTGAAACATTCCCTGCTTCGCACGGGTAGCACCTCCGCCCGACTTCGCAGGAATTACATCGTTATATTTCTCCCAATTCACACAAGACATTTATGAGTTTCACACATAAATATTCCTCTACAATTACCCCGTTCATTGGTTATAACCGTATGAGAATTCCTTTGGTAGTTTTTGAGTTTACTGCATTCAGATTGTCTATGAGACAATTCTCATAGACATAGCTAAACTAAAATTTAAAGAAAACAATATGAAAATAAGTCAGATATTGATAATCGTAGTGAAATTCATTATAATCTTTCAATTAAATGAACCTGAATTCATCCCGTGATACAGCAATATCAAAAAGCAATATTAGGTCACAATGAATTAGTAGCAAATAAAAAAAAATTATCATAATCTACTGATGTCACATTCACCATCCAAACCAGTAAAAGAATAATATATCTATGAGGTCAACATCATATCTCAAACTGAATAAAAATTTGCATTTCTCTCTTCAAAACAAATTCCACTTTGCTACCTTCTTTTGTTCAGTTCATTTCGAGAAGGATGAAATTATTTTCACAGTTCATTCGATTATTAAAAATCGTACGTTAAACGATGAGATATCGTTAATCTTCATATCGCACTAGTTTCGACTTCTTAGGATTGACGTTCATGAGGAGGCGACAAC